TGCGTGCGGCCAGGGTTCGATCCTCAGCACCACATACAAACAAAGATGTTGTGTCTGCTAAAAAATAAATATTAAAATTCTCTCTCTCTCTCTCTTAAGAAAAAAAATTTAATTACAGGTATTTATGTTTGCTTATCCATGCCTATGTTTATTTCTATGTTCATTAGTGCCTGGCCCCAGATATATATATATACATACATACATACATACAGCGGCATGTGGTTAGTGACTGTTGAGTTGCAGCCACATTCTCGTGTACACACTAATCATTGCTACTCTCTAACTGATGCCTCTAACTGTGCCCTGAAGACTGGGTTTGATTCTTAGCAGAAAAGGGTATCTAATTCTTATGAAACAGAGGACTTTTGCTAGGTCTCATGATGGTTAGGATTGTGAAAAATTGGATGTAGGACTAGTCAGAGCTGAATTCTGCACAGTAGATGGGAAGAGGGATAACAGTGAATAGGAATTCAGGAGAAAGAGAAAGAGTGGCCTGTCGGCCTCCTTCCATTTGAGGAAAGAATCCTGTGAGATGTCTCTGGGGGCAATGACAGCCAAAGAAGGAACATTAGCAAATAGAAATAATAGTTTCTTATTTAATTGGAGGAAGGGGAGATTGTGCAATGCAAACTCATCTTCTTCATTTCCCTTCTGACATCTTCAGAAAGTATAGAATGCCTCTGTACAAGTGAATCAATCTTCTTTTGCAAGAGGTGTCAAGCTTGGCTCAGCATGAAACAGAAGCAGCCTTGACAGACACAGGGGCCTGAAGGTGGGAGGGGGACATAGCTGAGAATGGCTTCATGTACCCCAACAATCCTAAAAGATAACAGATAACTGCTCTAACTACTCAAAAAAAAAAAAAAAAAAAATCCTAACAGGGAGGTGACAGTCCCCAGGCCATATTCACTGATCTTTTTCAAGATGCAGGCTCTCATTTCTTCCAATATGTTTGCAGTTTGTTTTGAAATGGGAATCCCTTGTGGGAGGCCTGGTTCAGGGTAGAAAGTTTTATTTTTCATTAAATTCTCCTTTTCTGAAAAATAAAACACCCCTACACTAGTCTTTAGAACTTAACAAACTGCACACGTTCCTGATCCTTTATTATTTCCCTAGGTAACTGTAAAAAAAAAAAATTGTTCTTGCCATGGTAACCACAGTGCTGGCTCTGGAAAATACCATTTCTAACTGTGCTTTGGGATACTGCACATCAATCGGAAATACATCAAGGAAAAAGGGCATTCTGCAAAAACCAAAAAATTTAAAAAAGCAATCATCTCTTTTTGTATACGTTACTCAATTCCTATCTTTTAATGCACCAACACTCTTAAATGACAAATGAAAATCATGCTTTCCCAGTTAAGTGAATTAGTTCTTAAACCAGGGTTCCCAAAAGATTGAGGTAATGTGAGTTGGTCTTCTTGTCCAATTCTGGGTGACAGTTTTTCTGTGCTTGTGAAATCCAGGAGACTGCTTTTGGACTAAGAACTCTCCACCATCTAAGCATCCTAGAGAGCATAAAAGCAGACTGCTGGGCAGGATATGGGATGCAGAGAGGGATAAAATAAAGTTTTTTCAAACTGGGGTGGTATTCGCTTCTTTGTGTCTTCTCCCCGCATCCCTCACCACCTTTGTTTATTGCTTTCCAGGCTATTTTAAATCGCTGCCTGTGGCTCTGTCAATTTTCTTCTTCACAATTCCCTCTCGAGTGTTTTGGGGTCTAGAGCCTCCAGATGGGGGTGTTAGGCATCCATTGAAATTCAGTGGGTGGGTTTGAATATGCACCTGCACTCTGGTAACCTCCACAGAAGCTGAAGCTAAGTATCAAACAGATCCTCCAAAGTGTGGATCCTCGGGCTGACATAGGGATAAAGCCAGGTAACAGACACAGAGCAGCAGGAAGGAGAATGAGGATGTTCTGTGTCAGGAAGCTGGCCTAGAAGATTCTCTGTGATATTTTCTTTGCTACGTATGAAGTAAGCAGTTAGAGATGTTATTATTTATGGGGTGGATTATGTCCCTCTAAAGTCTTATGTAAAATTTCTAACCTCCACTACCTCAGAATGTGATGTAATTTGGAGAGTATTAAGAGGTAATTAAGTTAAAATGAGATCATTAGGATGGGTTCCAACCCTCGGAGACTGATGTTGGGGAAATTGGGACACAGATAAGCGCACAAAGTACCATGTAAAGATGAAGTTGTAGATTAGGGTAATGTTTCTAATTTAGAAATGCCAAAGATTGTCCAGAAGCCACAAGAAAATTTTTATAGGACAAAGAAACAATTTTCAGAATATAGAAGGCATTCAAACAACTCAATAGTAAAAACAAAAAAATTCAATTTCAAAATGGGTAATTGACCTAAACAGACATTTCACCAAAGAGGAAATACAAATGGAGAATGAAAAAATGGATAAGAAAAAATGCTCAATATCATTAATCAATAGGCAAACACAAATCAAAACTACAATGACAGATCATTTCACCCAAGTTAGAATGGTTATTATCCATAAGACAGAAAATAATGTATGCCGATAAGAAAGCTGAAAGAGGATCTCATACAAAACTCTCAGTGGGAATACAAACTAGTAGCCATTTTGGAAAATAGTATGGGGATTCCTCAAAAAACTAGAAATAGAATTACCATGTGAATTGGCAATTCCTTTACTGGGTAAATATCAAGCACATTAAAATCAGTATTTCAGAGAGATATTGGCACTCAGACTTATTATTGCTTTATTCACAACAGCCAAGATAAGGAGTCGATCTAAGTGTCTATCAATAGATGAATGGATAAAGAAAATGCAGCATGTACATACAATGGAATATTATTCAGTCTTAAAAAGAAGGAAATCATGTCACATGCTACCATGGATGGAACTTGGGGAATTGTGCTCAATGAAATAATCCACTTACAAAAAGACTAAAACCATATGATTCTATTTATATGAGGTATCTAAAGTAATCTAATTTATAAAGACAGTAGTTACCAGGAGCTTGAGGGAAAAGGAAATGGAAAGTTGTTGTCTAATGGGTCTCAAGTTTCATTTTCACAAGATGAAAAAGTTCTGGAGATTAGTTGTACACAATGGAATATAGTTAACACTACTAAAGTGTACGTGTAAAAAATGGTTAAGATGTTAAATTTTATATTACATTACCACATTTAAAAAAATGTATTAGCTATTATAGTTTTTAAAAGTTTGTAATCAACTGTTTTGGAAGAGAAAATGAAAATTTAGGAGTTTTGCTTGTGTTTTTCACTTAAAATTTATTTCAATTACAGTTAAGCAGATTTGCAAGCCTGGATTTCCATACTGTAGCCATTTAAGCTATTGAAGGTTTTGCTGATGATCAAGTCTTCATGTCATTACATGCTTTTTATAGGAGATGATTTGTATTTTACTTCTTGACGATGAAATTAAAGTGTCAGTTTTGGCAGTTAGTAAATCTCCTGAGTCATATGCAAAGTTAAGTTAAAATATATTGAGAAGAAGCTTATCTTTTCTAAACAATCTGCTTGTTTAGACCCTAAAAGAATTTTAAAAGCCAACATACTCCTTCACATGTTTTAATTGACATCTAAAATACTTTCTGACAAGTTTAAATAGTTACAAAGGATGTGCTTTACAGTGGGTTGGAAATATTAACATTTTAAAATAAATTTGCTTTATCACTCTTAAAAATTTAATGTTAGTTGTTTCCACAAAAAAGTATGAGTTAGGGAAAGGGGGGGGGGAGAGAAAGAGAGAGAGAGAGAGAGAGAGAGAGAGAGAGAGAGAGAGAGAGAGAGAATGAGAATGAATTCAAGTGCTATGCTTGTGTCAATTTATAACCCTCTTCTTGGATTTCCTGAGACTAAGAAAATTCTACCTGCCTTTAGAGCTTCCTGTCTGCATTCTTTCCTACTAATTTGCAATTTAAACTAACTACTTAACAATGTTCTAATTCTCTTTGATTTCTGAACTGTAGAACACATTAACTAAAGAAAATGATCAACCAAAGAAAATGAATAAACTTTTTTACACATTTTGATATGGGTATTTAAAATTTAATTGTTCTAGATCTGAAAGAAGGTCTGGTAAAAATGAAGTTGTGCCAGGTGCAGTGACATATGCTTGTAATACCAACACGTTCAAGGTCAGCTTCGGTAATTTAGACTCCATCTCAAAATAAAAAATTAAAAGAAATGGGATTTAACCCTGTTAAAACACTGTGGGCTCAATTCCCAATAGTGGGGGGAAAAAGTGAAGTTGCAATTAGAAAACTGACAGAGAAATGGACTTATTTTGTCTCTAGGAGTTTTATCATGTGATATATTTCTAGTGGAATGAATCATTGTTGTTTTTATGGTCACGGGTCAAAGTGAAGGTTATGCTGGGTAAAAGAATTGTTGCTTTGCATTCTACCAGGCTGATTGGTGAGAATGCCCCTGAATTCAGATTAGAAAAATGTTTATTGCTAGTGCCTACAACACTGATATATGACTTTGTTTTGCAGTTATACTCAGGTCACCTTTCATGCTATTGGGAACTTTCTTTTCAACACAAATGATAAGAGAACATATTAATTTAATTGATATTAAATAAAAGCTGTTATTATCTTTTACATGGTCAGGTTTTGATCTGAGTGGAATCTATGAGAAATGTCAACAAAACTGCAAATGCATTTAAATATGAATGAGTTCTTCCAACAGAACACACAAGGTTATTGCTAAAGTAAAGAAAAAAACAATAAAATGGTAACCCAAAAGCACGAGCAGCCTCATGTCTGGGTTGATTTATGTGATCTTAGAGATAATTATATCTAAAATGGAAATAATAATAAATACTTGTCCTACCCACTTCATGGGGACCCATAGTGAATACGAATGAGGGCCACTTCCACAATAATTTACCTTCCTTTTCACATTAACCTTGCTAAGCATTATGCTAAGTGCATTGTATTTTGTATCTGTTCATGACTATTCTATAACATAGGTCTCTTTCTCTCTCTTATAGAAGAAGAACTTGAAACTCAGAGATTACAGTAATTTATCCAAGGTGAAGAACTGACAGGTGTAAACTGACATCATAAAACTGGGAAAAATGGAAGTTTTCTTCGTGAGACATTCTAGTGAGTTTTGAATTGTTATTCCCTTTATGTGGTTATTTTACTTGACAAAATCCAGATGAATAAAAAAGAGAGGCTTACCTTTCCACACAAAGTCATTTTCCCCCCTGGGAAATGTAAAAGTGGAATCATTGTTAAAAATAAGAAAAACAATCCCTTGTATTTATTTAACTGTTTTTCCAGTGTGCATAATACTTTCTCACACATAATCTTTTCTGGCATACTTTGTATGTTCGTTTTTTTTTTTTTCCTTTACCTCCCTAGCAAATGTGAATTAGTGGTCTTTTTTGCAAGCCCCAACAAAGAAAATTAAAGCATAAAGAGAAAGCATACAGAAATGAACTTCTACTAGAGCTTCGTCAATTGGCTAAAGTTAACATCATTAGTCTAGAGACACATTAGCATCATGTGTCTTCTCGCATGACACACTGAACCGAACACACAATGCTTGAGCAACATTCCTACCAAAGAAGCATAACCTTAGTTTAATGGTGAGACACCAAAAAAATCCCAAATTGAGGGACACTCTACAGGATAACCAGTTTGTACTTTTCAAAAATGTCAATGTGATGGAACAGAAAGACCATAGAACTATTCCATATTAATGGCAATTAAAAAAAAAAAGATGACTAAATGCACCTCATGATCCAAGATTTTTCTTGGTTATAAAGGACACATTGGAATAGTTGGCCATAACTGAATAAAGTCAGCTTCCAAATTTCCAAAATTCTGTGTATGGATGTCACTTAAGCCACTATTTACTCCATCATCAGCAACTAAATGAATGATACATCTAAATAAAATTCAAATGCACGAGCTGAGAAAACCAATCCTGCCTTCTACTATTCAACAATATTAAAATATATTAATATTATATCTACGCTCCTGTGGATAAGACATTTTAAATTTGAGAGGAAGGCTGCACTTTCAGTGTCTCCATGGCTTGGGGTTCAAGCAACAGGGGTACTGCTTCTTGGCAAAGTGGGTGAAAGAGGGAATTCACTGAAATTCAATATGGGACAGTTAGAAACTCTTAGAGACCCAGAAACTTGGACACCTTGAACACAGGAAAAGACAGAACACATTGAAGCCTAGCCAGCAGCAGCAGTGGCAGTAACACTAGTTTACCAAACAGGAGAGAGAGAATAATAATAGCCAAATTCCCTTGTTTTCCCTGTTTATTTTGTTTTTTAATTTACCTCCCCCCGCTTTTTCCTCCTCCTTCTTCACAGCCATCACTTGCTACGTCTCTTCTGCTTTCTCTCTGTTCACATTTGGAATATTTTAACTCTTTTTTTTTTAACTTTCCCATCACATTTTCTTTTCTCAATAAGTGTGATTTTAGTCTCTTTTAGAATAATTTGGTTTGTAAATTTCCTGCTCCCACCTGTTGTATAGTTGATACTTGCTGTTTACTTTAATGCCAGATCTACTTAATAGCTCTCTATTGTTGTTGCTGTTGGAAATCCCTGGCCCTGCCATTCCTGTTTTTGAGGTAATTAATGTTGTAAAGATCTTAGTTGGCAATGGGAGTTTATTTTAATGCTGAATACTGTTCACTGCTATTGTTCCTATTGTTTGTTGCTCCTTTTATGTGATGTTCTGGGAATCTACTGGGACAACACAAATTCACAGGGTAGAGACTCTGCTACTGAGATGTATTCAAAACTCAGCCAAGACAGCATAACTTGCTCCACACACAAATTACCAGTGCTCAAACTTCAATGATACTTTAAGGCAAAGAATAGAGGGGACAAAAAACCCGAACAAATGACAAAGCCCCAAGTAGGTATGGCTGGTGGGAGACCTTCAGGTTACTACTACATGCACACACACAGATTATACACTATCTATTTTAAAGACAAGAGAAGCATTTTCTATGGTTTTCTTTAGCTTTTTCAAGATCAATCAAAAAGTATAATTTGAGTTTATTTTTGATTTTTATATTCCAAATTAAAAAAATAAAATAAAATCATGTCATTTGTAGGAAAATGGATGGATCTTGAAAACATTACCTAAAGCAAAACAAGCCAAACTCAAAGAAAGTCAAGATTATCAGCTAGGGAGAAAAAAGGAAAAGAAAGGTGTGTGTGTGAGTTTATGAAAATAAAAGGGACACCAGTAGAGTAGAGAAAAGGATGGGGGATAAGAGGAAAATCTGGGGAATAATGTTGACCAAATTATTTTTTAAGCCTGATTTCAAGATTTACAATAAATTAACATTAATGAAGACAATGTAATATTGGCATAAAAATGGACATGTAGAAAAAATGGCACAGAATTTAAAAATTAGCCCACATATATTGCTGGTGGGACTGCACAATGGTGCAGCCATTATGGAAAGCAGTATGGAGATTCCTTGGAAAACTGGGAATGGAACCACCATTATTCCCAGGTAACCCACTCCTTGGTCTATACCCAAAGGACTTAAAAATAGCATACTACAGGGACACAGCCACATCAATGTTTGTAACAGCACAATTCACAATAGCTAAACTGTAGAACCAACCTAAATGCCCTTCAGTAGATGAATGGATAAAAAAAAAAAGTGGTGTATTTACACAATGGAATTTTACTCAGCAATAATAGAGAATAAAATCATGGCATTTGCAGGTATGGATGGAGTTGAAAATATAATGCTAAGTGAAGTTAGCTAATGCCAAAAAAAACAAATGCCGAACGTTTTCTCTGACATAAGGAGGCTGATTCATAGTGGGGTTGGGATGGGGAGCATGGGAGGAATAGACAAATTCTATATAGGACAAAGGGGAGGGCGGGAGAGGAAGGAGGCAAGAGGGTTAAAAAAAAGATGGTGAATGAGATTGATATCACTACCCTAAGTACATGTATGAAGAACACATGAATGATGTGAATATACTTAGTGTACAAGCAGAGATATGAAAAATTGTGCTCTATATATGTAATATGAATTATAATGCATTCTGCTTTCATATATAACAAATTAGAATTAAAAAATTAAAAAGAGCTAAATTGGGTACCATGCAACAAAATCAAATGGGGTTTATTGCATGTTTTATAGCTGTGAACATGTAATCTTAGGTAGATTCCTAAAATGTGATTGGATGAAGGGAAAATATTTATGAAGAAATTGGAGTTAGATTATCTTAAAAGATCTATTCTAAAACTCTATTAATTACAATGATATGGTATTAAAGATATGTAGACTTAAAGAATAGAGATCATAAATATGACTCACATAAATGAGTTGATTTATGACAGTGGATTTATGACTATCAGTGGAGTGATTTATGACTATCTATCTATCTATCTATCTATCTATATATATATATATATTCTAATCAAGAAATGGTATTAAGGTAATAGGAAATTCAAATGAGACAAAATTTAATCCCTGATTCATAACATACACACAAAAAGCCAATTTCAGGATTAGTAAAGATTTTAATGTGAAAAGCAAAGGTTCAAATATTTAAAGATAAATTGAAGGACATCTCCATGTACAAAGCATAAAAAGTATGAATCATAAAGCAGAAGATTAATAAATAAAACTACAATATCTTAAGTTTTGTTCATCATCAGGAAATGAAAATATAATTCACAAACTGGATTTGGATAAGTGCAAATATAACTAATAAAAAAATTTATATCTAGAAAAAAATTCACCCACACATACATGACGTTGACCAAATGATATTGTTGTATTGTGTGTATTTAACAATGAACCCCACCATTATGTATAATTACAATGCACCAATAAAAATTTGGAAAAGAAGACCAAATTTTAAAGAAAAGTTTGCCTTTCTCCCCCCCATATATGGACCAAATTGCTTCCAGTTACACCAATTTAAATTTCAATACCAATACTTCCTACTAGATTAAGTTTCTTTGATTTAAATACAAGCAATTGCTTTATTCTTTGCCTTCTGCAAGCTAGGTTTATTCTTAAGACAGAGCTACTTCAGGTTGACATGTTTCAAATTTCCATCTACAGAGATCAAATGTTCTGGATATTGAGTTCATTATTTCCAGACTGGGTCTTCATCAAGGGGATTTTAGCCACATGCCTAAGGACTCAATCTTATTATGAGCCAACCTGATGAATAGTATCCTGATAGTTTTGAAGATTGAGAATTAAGAGACTCAGGAAGATTCAGTGGAGGGAGGTTGTAGGGGATTGAAGGGCAAAGGAGGAGAGACACTTAGTGATCATATTTATGCCCTGATCAAGGGAGTGTAGAGTGGGGAGAGACCAGGGTAAGTCTTTGGTTCATTTTCCAGAGATACTTTACAGTAACTGTGGAGGCTATCTGTTAAGATTTTTTTTTTCAACGTTCCCAGTGAGGTCTTGGATATTTGGTAGTAAGCCTCATCTCCCCCAAAACACATAAATCTCTCTCTCTCTCTCTCTCTCTCTCTCTCTCTCTCTCTCTCTCTCACACACACACACACATATTTAAGAGAAAAAATTTTGATGGTTTTCTTTAGATGTTTCAAGATCAAAGGAAAATTATAACTTGAGTTTATGATTTTTGTATTTCACATTTTTAAATATTTCACAAAGTAGTGTCCATAATAGTTCAGCACAAATGAGCTAAGTGTGGTTCCCTGTTAAATTTTCCCAATATTAAGCTGAGGGAGTACCTTCTGAGCTCAAGATAAATGCTTAGTTTTCAACAAATGGGACGAATTCAAACTAAAAATTTTTTTCTCAGCAAGAGAAATAATATGCTAGGTGAATAGGGAGTCTACATCCTGAGAACAAATTTTTACCCCTCAAACATCAGATAGAGCTCTAATCTCTAGAGTATACAAAGAACTCAAAATGTTAAACAACAAAAAAGCAAATAACCCAATCAACAAATGGGCCAAGGACTTGAACAGAAATTTCTCAGAAGAGGATATACAATCAATCAATAAATACATGAAAAAATGCTCTCCATCTCTAGCAATCAGAGAAATGCAAATTAAAACCACTCTAAGATACCATCTCACTCCAATAAGAATGGCAGCCATTATGAAGTCAAACAACAATAAGTGCTGGCGAGATGGAGGGGGGGAGGTATACTCATACATTGCTGGTGGGACTGCAAATTGGTGCAGCCAATTTGGAATGCAGTATGGAGATTCCTTGGAAAACTGGGAATGGAACCACCATTTGACCCAGCTATTCCCCTTCTCAGACTATACCCAAAAGACCTAAAAAGAGCATACTACAAGGACAAAGCCACATCAATGTTTATAGAAGCACAATTCACAATAGCTAGAATGTGGAACCAACCTAGATGCCCTTCAATAGATGAATGGATTAAAAAAAATGTGGCATTTATACATAATGGAATATTACTCAGCACTAAAAAATAACAAGATCATGGCATTTGCAGGCAAATGGATGGCATTAGAGCAGACTTTGCTAAGTGAAGTTAGCCAATCCCTAAAAAACAAATGCCAAATGTCTTCTCTGATATAAGGGGGGTGACTCAAAATGGTATAGGGAGGAAGAGCATGAGAAGAAGACTACCACTAAATAGGGAAGAGAGGTGGGAGGGAAAAAGAGGGAGAAGGGGAGTTGCACGGAAGATGGAAGGAGAACCTCATTGTTATACAGAATACATTTATGATGTTGTAATGAGAAAAAGAAAAAAAGTGTGTCACATTAGATTGGATAGAGAGAAAGGATGGGAGAGGAGGGGAGGAGTAGGGGGGATAGGAAGGGCAGCAGAATAGAATAGACAATATGATTGATGTATGTACATTCCATATATGTATTATATGTCAAAATACATTCTGCTGTCATGTGTGACTAAAAAAAAAATAAAAATAAAAATTTAATTAAAAAAGATAAATGCTTAGTTTTGAACAATCAAATGTCAGGAGGAATGCTCCTTTGATTGGAATGATCTTGCTGATTAGGTCTTTGCATTATATGTCCTTGCCAACACCCTATAGGGACACAAAGGCAGACCTATATGCCACTGCCACAGAGGATCCCTGAGAGAGAAAAATACCTTGAATCCAGATCTGACTCTTTTTAAGGAGACAGACTAGGGATGGCGATGAGGGTTAGGACCCTTACCAGGGACCAATGGCCTACGCCTGAGTATGGAAGGAGGAAAGTATGATATGAAAATTTTTATGGGTCTTTTGGACACAGGAACTCAGGTCATGATTATCATTCTTGCCCTCTTCTGTGGGCCCAAGATGTCAAGGGACCATGAAAGATTCAGAACCAACCCTATCACACATGGAAGGAAAGTCACTATGCACTGGAGTTTCCTTGGCACAATTAGCATATCAGTGACTGTGGTTGCCACTGCTAAGTGCCTGTACACAAGGCACACATCACTGATTTGGGGATAGGTTCCACCTAACGGTTTCACTGGGGTAATCATCAAGGAATATGTTACCTCTCAAAAAACCACATGAATTGCCTCTGCCACAGAAAGTGTTTTAGATCGACAATGTCACATCTCATGTACAGAAAAAAAATAAAACTATTTTGATTTGAGTTAGTGGTGACTGAGGTCTTTCATGGCCCACAATTTCCTAACTTTCCCAACTGAAAGCCTAGTTGGGCCTATAAGAAAAGTGTCCAAGACACAAAAGTTTTGTAACAAACTACTGCCAACTCAGCTGTCTGTGTCACCACTTACTCCAACCTTAATGACATTATTTCAGAGAGTGCTTGTTCAAATATAGTTGCACTTGGTACTCTGCTGTTGACCTAACCAATGTTTTCTTCTCATTTCCTTAAGGAATACTGGCCAAGACCATTTCACCTTAATGTGGCTGGGGATGCTGCACATATTTACTGTCTTCCCCCAGAGCTTTCCCGCCATCTGTCACCAGTGAGTATGATTGGACTTACATAAGGCTGAAATCCAGCCAAGGTCCTTTGTCTAAATTACATTTATGATGCTATTTTGGTTGGTTCAGATGAAAACATCTGAGGAAACCCAGGCAATGTGATACCGGAAATGACCTTAAATGGTTTGGTCATGTATTTTGATAAGATCCAGGGATCAGACCAACAAGGAAGGACCAGACTAACAAATCACCTTGTTTCAGACATGATTTGAGCCAGAGTCTTGGGAAATTCCAACCAAAGTTAAGAATAAACTCCTGACATGAGTGTTCCCAATCTCTAAATAGAAAGCACAATACCTGGTGAGGCTATCTGAATACCGGGGAGAACATGATCCATACCTGGGCATTTTCCTTTCTCCCTGTGTCATGGACAGTGCCCTTGCCATAGGGTCAGGAAAATGGAAAACAAAAAAGCAAAAACCAAACTAAATAAAACACTTGATGTGGGGGACAAGATTCATGGCAAAAAAAAAAATTGATCCAGTGAGGTGGCAAAATATGTGTCACCCAAGTGGATAGACATAATAAAGGCCTTTATCAAACCAAGAACAACTAAAACAAGCAGATTAATGCAGGCTGCTCCAGACTGTTAGCCACTGTAACTTGTTGGGTTCACCAATGAACAGAGCGTGAAACTTCAGCCCACATGCAGGACTGGACACACACCTGAGGGCTTTCATTTGTGAAAACAAAAGTTACAGTGGTCACGGGGAACTCCTTCCAAGAAAAACAAAGAACCCATAAAAGCACATTGGGACACATCTTACCTGGCCTAGCTCTCACCCACGTTTGACAAATGAACCACATTGGGCTCATTTCACTCCCATCCCCAGTTGGAAGTTAAATGATGTCTTACTGTGGTGAACAGCTATTCCAAATTTGAAAGGTGGTTTGCCCTATGGATATGGGGACCACCATCTGAGCCATTGTGAAATACCTGTGCCAAGTATTGGCATACCCCATAGCATATAAATGGACCAGGGAATGTTCTTCATAGTAGAGGTACTCAACAATGGACATAAGCCCATGGTATCTGATAGATGATGATACAAGCCCCACATCATCCTCAAGCCAGTGTCATGACAGATGTCCCAAACAGGAGGCTGAAGCAACTAGGGATTACACAGGGTATCCCTGAAGGCTTGAAAACAAGATTGAAGAAAGTTGTCTGGACCCTAAATACAAACATGCAGCAGAAGGAAACCACAACTTGAAATTACTTGTTTGAAAATAATGAAAATGGAAGAGAAAAGCACCTTGTATACATGTGGGTCTTATTGTTGATATTCTATATGTGTCCTCATCACCCTTTTCTCTTTCTTCCAATTGGAATGGAAATCTGAAGAGTAGCAAGTGGTCTGAATGGCTACCCTACATGATGACCAGGCTCCCACCTGGAAGTCATGTTACCCAGTAGAACCTCCCTGACTTGGACCTCTCACTTCTTAAGGAATTCTCCTCCTCCTCCTCCTCCTCCTCCTCCTCCTCCTCCTCCTCCTCCCCCTCCTCCTCCTCCTCCCCCTCCTCCTCCTCCCCCTCATCCTCTCCCTCCTCCTCTCCCTCCTCCTCCTCCTCCTCCCCCTCCTCCTCTCCCTCCTCCTCTCCCTCCTCCTCCCCCCCCCCCCCCCTCCTCCTCCTCCCCCTCCTCCTCTCCCTCCTCCTCTCCCTCCTCCTCCTCCCCCTCCTCCTCTCCCTCCTCCTCCCCCTCCTCCTCTCCCTCCTCCTCCTCCTCTCCCTCCTCTCCCTCCTCCTCTCCCTCCTCTCCCTCCTCCTCCTCCTCCTCCTCTCCCTCCTCCTCTCCCTCCTCCTCTCCCTCCTCCTCTCCTTCCTCTCTTTCCTCCTCCTCCTCCTCCCCCTTCTTTTTTGGTGGTGCTAGGGATTGAACCCAGAGCCTTGTGCATGCCAGGCAAGCACTCTACCAACTGAGCTATATCCCCAGTGACCTCTCATTTCTTAGAAGGGACTTTCAAGGGGTCGTGGAGAGGAGGTTACCTATCACTTATGCAGCCAAAGTAACAGTTGAAGTCATGGGGCATGATGAGGTAGTTACCAATGTCACCTATCTAGTTGGCTTCGGTGACCACATACGACTGGGAAGTAAAAATTGGCAGAATCATAACTCCTGGGTAAGGCCAGACAGATAATATTTGTATTCTTGAGCAGAGAACATCTGAAACCCCAGGAGATCTGTGGGGTGAGAGGCGATGCAAGCATTATCTTTTCTTTTTCTCATCCGTACAGAAGACTCTGATGTGCCTTGCATAATAACACTCTGATAAGAATCAGCCCAGCTCTGACAAGATGAGACAAATTCAGACCTCTCTGAATTTGGGGATTTCAGACTGATGTCCCTTTTATCCAACACACCCATTGTAGTGGCTTGGGCAGTGAAAATAACTTGGACTTTCCTCAACACCAATGAGATGCCCCACACTCACCAGCCAATGTGGTGATGGAAGACCAAATAGCCCTTAATTGGCAGAACAGCGTGACATTTTGTGCTATAGCCAACACCTCTTGTGCATATGTCAGTAATTTAGAGAAGACAAGATTGACTGGAAAAGATCCATGCTCAGATGGAATAGTGATGAGCTGTGTATTCACAGTCCCCCTTTGACTCATTTTTGGGGCTTCTTCATCTGGCTAAAGTCCTTGGCAAGTATCCAGGTACTTGGGGTTTCTGGCTGAAGACCATTCTTCAGGATTGGCCATCCTCCTGGGCCTGCTTTTCCTAGTAACTCTAATGAAATGCTGTCTCAATTGACAGGGAGGCTCTGGGACAAACCAGATCCATACAGGTTACACATGGATCCCATGGAGCCCAACTCTGCCTCCAAGTTCAGAGCTGGTGGATGATCCTACCACATTTGATATATTTTATCTGCTCTTTCTTCATCTGAGCAAGGGTCAGACTTGGACTGTTGGCAAAAGCAGCTTTGTGCATGCCATCTTCCAATTTCATTCAGTCACATAATAATGAGCCTTGGGTCTGAAAGTCTTCATCAACAAGAGTTAAGGAGCCCACACAACCTCTGCAGGACGTATTGCCAGGTGTGGGAATACCATTCCTTGTTTCAGACTCAATGTGCACTTTGTTGTTCTGTGTCAATGGCCTTTACAGAATTTCAGCCAATAGCTGCTCTTTGCTCTTATGTATATACAGAAGGCCTTAAGATGTACCTTTGCTTGGCCCCCAGATTATTTCCACACTGGATTTTACAACTTGTTATACAGAGGATGCTTGGGTAAGAGCAAAATATGAATGAATAAATGATGTTTGTATAGACTTTCAGTTTTAAGAGATACTTTTCACTATTCACAATCAGCAATCAGAGCACAGATCCCAATGATTAAAAAACAGTGTTCTTTCTTCCCACTTAGGATCCTGAAGCCCATAAGTAAGCTGCTCCGAGAACATCTATACAGCCCCTTACCAAGTGTCTGAAGGTGGGGAACTAGAACTGAAATGAGGTACAATATACCACCCAAACCTTCTTTTAGAAGTTGAAATCTGTCTGTCAGCTTTTCATCAACATGATTGAAATACCTGACATCAATACTTAGAAGAGGAAAGACATTTTGGGTCATGGTTTTAGAGTTTTCAGTCTATGGTGGGATGGCTCTGTTGCTTTGGGCCAAAGAGGAGACAGAACATGGCAGAGGGACATGGCAGAGGAAAGCTTCTCGGCTCATGGCAGCCAGGAAGGAGAAAGGGAGAGAGAGAGAAAGATAAAAAATAAAGAGAGAGTGTAAGAGGCCAGGGACAAGATTTACCCTTCTACCACATGCCCCCTGTGACCTACTGGCTGCAAGCAGGCCTCATTTCTGATAGTTTCCACTGCCTCTCCATAATGCCGCCAAATTACTAATCCAGCAGAGGATTCATTCACAGACAAGGTCAGAGTCCTCATGATGCAGTCACTGCCCCAAAGCCCCACCTCCAAACATTGTTGTATTGGGGACTAAGACTTCTACACATAAGCCTTTAGGTATACTTCGTATCTAAACCATACAACCATAACAGAAACTTCCAATCCACTTCAGAGTTTGAAAAAAGTTATGTATGATTCTGCCAATTCAATTGATTCCTATTCCATCATCTTCTCAGAATCTTCTCATAGTTTTGTTTTTTTGCATACAAGTAAAAATTACACAATAGCCACACACAATTCTTATTTGAAGAATATTTTAAGAACACATTTGAGTATAGAAATATAATAACAACTTCTTCCTCTTTGAGTGTCTTCGTATAGTGAAACCACAGAGAAACAAAAGATACCCCTTAACAACAACAACAACAAAAAACTTGAAAAAGAAACTTAGCTTCTGTTTGTTCCTGGAATAGAATTTGAGTTAAATAATTTAGTAAGGAAGTCCGCTTCCTCTTAGAAAGCAATGAAATCAAAACAAGTCTGATGTACAAAAGTCAGATAAATAATTTTGGTTTACAAAGAATCCTATGGTGGAGATGATAGTCATGTAATTAGTTTTACTTGCTATTAAAATTATACTTTTTCTTCTCATAGCAGTCTCAAAGACTTTCAAAGTTAGGGGCTTATATATCTCATTGGTTCAAACACTCAAAATGTTGCAAGATTGACAATATGAATGAGTTTTACATTCTACAGGAGTAAATCTTTAGTCAACTGTGGTTTGGAATTGTGAAGCCATCAAATATCATATGTGTCATATCAACTTCTTTTTAAAATTTCCTTATGAATTGCCACATGGAATGGATTTTTCCAGAGTCCTTGAGGAACATAAATGAACCTAAAAATGTCTCTCACTTTACAATAGTGGCCAGACTTTTCTGTTTATGCAACACCTTTACCTACATGGAGCAGGTTAAGTCATGGTGGGGTGGGCAATTCAGACAAAGTTGAAGATGTTCATAAACACACCTGACCACTCTACCTGAAGCTCACTCTAGCTATATAAATCAGATTCCTTAAACTACCTTCTTTGCTATTTCAGCATCATCCCAAACAAAAAAGAAATTTGATGCACTAGTTGATTTGATTGTACATGCAAATTTACAAGGAATTACATATTGGGCAAATCTATAATGATATGTATTCACCTTTGTTGCATCATAAAGAATGTTACTGCCTTAAATATTCACTGTGCTCTGCCTGTTTGTGCCTTTCTCCTCCCAATAGCTTCCATTTATCTAAATAAATATTTGCTTACTACCCAATCATCTTATAGAACACCCATGACTTGCAAATGAACTTTGGGAAACAATGGTTGTAATTACCATGGACAAATGGCTAGAGTCATTCTAAAGAGAAAGAAGCAATTTGAATTTTGCTGAGAAAGAATCATTCTTTCTTCTAAGGATGGCCTCACTGGTGGAATGTGATTCTAGAGATGCTGATATTCGTGTGGTCACCCCATGCAGAGCTAGCCCTCATGAGAATGAGGTCAACACGGATGGGGGAGGGTATAGATGAAGAGAGAAAAAGAGAAAGTGAGGGTGAGAAAGTGGAGCAGGAGGTGGGGGGGGGGTAGGGAGAAAGAGAGAGGTGGGAGATGTCTGTCTGTATCTTTTGTTTGGGGATTTAGTTAAGCCAGAGCCCAGACTCATCCATAGACCTTTCAGTTACATAAGCCAATACATGTTTGACTAAGCCCCCAGTTGGATTTCTGAATATCTCAAAAGGTCATAGTTAGTCTATGAAAATGAGGATTTATCTGAGCCAGACCCTAAATAATGGCTATCCTGGATGAAGAGGGAAGATTCGTGGAAGGTGATAGCAAAGTAACCAACTATTACCTGCTGTTTTTTTGCTGGACTTTACTTTCTAGAACAATTTTAGGTTCACAATAAAGTTGAGCAGAAAGTAGAGAGAGTTCTCGTATATTTCCTGCCCTCAATGACTGTACAACATTTCCCATTGTTGTGGTTTGCATATGAGGTGTTCCCCAAAAGCTCCTGTGTTAATGCAGGCATAATCAGAAGTGAAATGATCAGATTATAAAAGCCATCATCAGTCCACTCTAGTTCGAATGGATAAACTGGTTGGTGACTGTAGTCATGTGGGATGTGGCTAGAGGAGGTAGGTCACTGGTGGCATGCCCTGGAAGGGTACATCTTCCCTGGGGCCCCTTCCTTACTCTCTCTCTGCTTCCTGGCTGCTATGAGCTGAGCATTTCCCTTCACTGTGCCCTTCTGCCATGTTCTGCCTCACCTTGGGCTCAGAGCAATGGAGTTGACTGACCATGGACTAAATCCATGAACCAAAATAAACTTTCCCTCCTCTAACCTGTTCTTGACAGGTATTCTGATCACAGTGGTGCAAAGCCAACACATCTACTATAAACCTCCTACACTAGAGTGGCATATTTTTTATAACTGATGAACCTATATTGACATATCATTATCACTCAAAGTCTTTAGTTTTCATTAGGGCTCACTAATTAGGGACTATCCATTTCTATGGATTTTGACAGGTATGATGACATGGATCAACCATTAGAGTATCATACAGAATAGTTTCACTGCCCTAAATGTCATCTGTGCTCTGCCTATTTATCCATCCCCTTCTATTAATACCTGGTCATCACTGATCTTTTTTACTGTCTCCATAGTTATGCCTTTCCAGAATGTTAGATAATTGAAAATCCATAGTATGTAAGCTTTTCAGATTGTCTTCTTTTACTAACATGCATTTAAATTTCCTCCATGTCTTTTCACGAATTAATAGCTTATTTCTTTTAGCACTGAACAATATTCCATTGTCTGCATGTACCACGGTTTATTTATCCATTTACCTACTGAAGTATATCTTGGTTGCCTTTTGGTAAATATGAATCAGGCTGCTCTAAACATCTGTGTTCAGGTTTTTGCATGGGCATAAATTTTCAACTCCTTGGGTTATACCAAGCTCGTGAATACTTAATAAGATGGCAAAAGCATGTTTAGTTTTGTAAGAAGCAGATGAACTGTCTTTCTTAGACTTTTTTGACGACTAAAGCAAAATACTATAAACTGGGTAGCTTGCACACAACAGAAATTTGTTTCTCACAGTTCTAGAGGCTAGAAAGTCCAACATCAAGGCACTGGATGATTCTGTATCTGGTAGTCTATGGTCTAATTCATAGATAGTAGATGCTAATTATGTCCTCACATGGCAGCATGGACTATCTCTCTCTCTCAGGTCTTTTTTTTATAAGAGCAATAATTCCATTTATGAGTGATCTACACTCATGAATTTTGGGGAGACATAAACATTCAGTCCATCGCACTGTCTTCTAAACTGGCTGTACCATTTTGCAATCCCATCAACAATGAATAAAATTTCCTGTTGTTCCACGTTAGGGTTCCATGTTAATGCTGGAGTGTTCAGAGGTGAAATGATTAGATTATGAGAGCTGTAACCTAATGGGTGGGTTAATCCATTTGATGGGTTAATAATTTGAAAAGACTAGTGGGTGTAAATATAAGAAGGTGGGTCAAGACTGGAGGAGGTGGGTCACTGGGGGTACACCTTGGAGATAATATCTCCTGCCCCTTGGGTCCTTCCTCTTTCTTTCTGCTTCCGGGTACCATGTGGTGAGTAGCTTTTCTTCATCATGCTGCCTCACCTTAAACCCAGAGAGTAAGTCAGCTGACTGAGACCCTGAAATCATGAACCAATAGAAACTTGAGATCTAGAGAAGTTTGATTCTTTAGTCCCTAATACATCCTTGTTTCCTGGTATATCCTCTCTTCCTTTGAGTTCTGTCAATTCCTTTGAAGTAGCCATCTCTGATTCATTTCACCACACTCTTAATTTCAGGGGAAGTCTGGAAATCGGATTCTCCTTTCCCCGGTGTGCATGATTCACGTGGAGTGAGCATTTACAGCTGTTGTCTGCATGAGCAGGTAGGTCTATGCTCTGCCAGTTGTTAGATATTTTGAACATCATGTCTAATTGGGAGGAGGATATTTGTCTAGGTTGTCCTTTGAATATATTTTTTTGGTTCTTGGACAATCATCTTAATATATAACTGACTCCTGTATGGCTTCAAGGGTAGTTATACATCTAAACTTTAGTCAAATATTGGGAAAATATGGCATTTTATCTAATGTTTAAGCCGGAATAAAGTCATAAATAAACAACCGCTGTGTGGAGCTCAGGAAGGCTTGATTGAGCCACTAGTCCTCATTTTCTGCTTATATAAAATGAGAGGGTTGGAATCTTTAGAGCTCTAAATTTCTATGATCTGTTTGGAATAAGGAAAAGTGAAAATGAAAGTACTAGTAAAAAGTAATACACTTCTGTAAAGCATGCCAATTCCTGTAAATCCCAGAAAATGGGCACACCCTTGAAACTTGGCAAGGAAGACAGTTAATTAAATAACTATTCACCTGCGCACACACACTCAGACACACACACACTGGTGAAAAGCCCTTTGTTTTCAGGTGAAGTAGGTCTGATGAACTCAGCGTGAGACAGTGTTATTGGCATCTTCCCTGGAAAATGAACTTTTAGTAACTGAAACTTTTCAGACCAGGCTGACAATATTTAAGGCGGGTTTTGCCTGCCTATCTAGGCATGCCCAAGCTTATATGTTTATGTATTTGCTTACTCTAGTATGCACATATTCTGGAAATTCTTACCAGTGTGGCTAACATGTATCCATGTTATTTCTTCTTCTTTTTCCCCCCCTTTCTGACTCTATTTTTAGAGACAGATGAAAATTAAAGAAAGTAGAGAAGAGAGTAAAGAAATAAAGAAATAAAAAGACAATATTCAAGGTAAGGATTTAGTTCTGTGTCTGTGAACAACACCTCTTTAATGTATTTGCTAGAAAATACAAAACATGGCAAGAATATAGTAAATTTTCTTCAGAAAAAAGCAGACATTTCTTCTACTTTTCTTCTTGACATAGAAAAAATATTTACTTATTTATTTTCCCTCAGTGCACTTTTTTCTTTGAAATAATAATTTCTCAGAGAGACCTTTGGGTGTTAAAAATATTAGAACTGAATCCTTTTAATTGTGACATTTTTGTTTTCACAAAGAAGAAGGTGCTATGTCTTGACAGGAAAGGCAAAGCATTAAAAGAATATAATTTTAGTTCCTATTTGCTTGGGTAGAAACAGAAAACAGTTGATCATTACTTCTACTTTTCTCCTACATGTAGCTATCACTGTCTTGCTCAGCCCTGGTGAAGAAGCAGGGCTTTCTGGCACTCAGAGCTCCTGCTACAGGAAGGCAGAGTAGCCTTAACTAACCCATTCTGTCCCATTGTCACAGATGTGGAATCCCTGCAAAAATTTAAATACAGTATATAATATATAATATGTAATACATAATGTAATTATATATTATATAACATGCAATTGTGTAATAGTAAGAAGATAATCATAATAGAGTGATTAACTATAATAATATTAATTAGTGTTAATAAATATAATAATATAGACAAGCTTTAAATTGTGGTTTCCAATTTATTTGACTGCACTTGTGTCAATTCCATTAGAATATCTGCAGAACTAAAAACTTCGGATTTAAGCAGCAGCAGCTACCTAGGGTATTCTGTCCTGAGGATCTAAAACTGAAATAGAAAGGAAATGTCAAGTTCTGTCTGAACAGTGGTCTACTTTATGCTTTGAATTTTTAGGCCTTGCTGCTCTGCCGCTGCAACTTATTTTTAAAATGGACATGTTTCTTTTCTCTTCCTCTCTCCCGCTCCTCCCTGATCTTTCCCCCTCCCTAATCTCAGGGGAAACAGGATTACCTTTCTTCCCCATCCTAGGCAGATTCATCTGTCCTTGAGTACACACTCAAGGAAATAAATAATCCAAACTTTGGGGATGGCACCAGAAAATCTCAGAAATGACTGTCCCCCAAATTCACAAGTGGATTACAACTCTAGACAGAGAACATGTGGAACGAAGTTTTTGAATCACCTCTTTAAAGCTCCCTGTTCCTGCTGATGGGCAGAATCACAGCCGTTGGGACAGGAGTTCCCTGTGTTTTTCCTTTGCTAATAAAGCAATAAACCTTCTTTTTCCCTTTTCTCAAAACCATATCCTCATTATTGGATTGGCATTGGGGACAAGGACCAAGCTTTGGCAACATGTCCACTAAATATCCCAGAGGATTTCCTTAAACACTGGAGCCTGAGATGGCAGACTCTTCCTAAAGCCCTTACCTTTCCGAGCTTGGAGTGCTCAGCAGAAAGATATACAGGGGTTCAGAAGCCAGAGACTGGTTGCTCCTCTTCCTTTTCCTGCCCAACAAAAGTGAGCATCTGGGTCCATGTGTCTGAGCCACAGTAATGTATATGGTGGTGTGTGCTGTGGAAGGAGCATTCTGGAGCTGGAGTGGAGAAAACTATTTTAACATATCCCTGGAGATGTAAGGATGGTGCTGGCTTTGCTCTGAGCACAGCAAAGACCAAGCAAAAATTGACCTTAAACTTCTAGAAACTGCAGCATTCCACCCAAGCAAAACACTCTATGTGACTTAAGGCAGTGAAGGTTGTTTACAGTTGCAATTTGTGATGTTTTTCTATCAGTTTCAAAGTCTAACAGAGGTAGGATTTCCTGTTCAAGCTGTTCCAATTCATCAAGAGACTTTAAATGAACTTTTCCCCCATTAGTTTCTTCCTCTTCCTTTTCCAATTTTCCACACCCTCCCAAAGACAATGCAGATAGAAAACACTCTGGGTTTTCCAGATATTTTAGTCCGCTTTTTCACTGCTGTGATTGAAAGACCTGACAAAAATTAATAGAGCAGGAAAAGTTTATTTTGGGCCTCACGGTTTCAGAGATTTTAGTCCATAGTCAGCTGGCTCCATTCCTGGGGGTTCCAAGTAAGGCAGAACATCATGGCAGAAGAGTGTGTCAGAGGGAAGTGGTTCAAGACATCACACTGAAAAGCAGAAATTGAGCTCTGCTCAACAAAGACAAAATATATTCCCCAAAGGCGTGCCCCCTCCTCCACCACACCCTACATGCCTACAGTTAATCCATTTCAGGGGACTAATTCACTGATAGGGTTAAGGCTCTCATAACCTGATCATTTCAGTCTAAACCTTCTTGCATTGTCTCACACATGAGCTTTTGGGGGACATATATCTAAACCATAACACTAGTAGAAAGAAATCTTACTTTAACAACTAGATAGCAAAATAAATACCAAGATAACCAGGTACAGTGACCCATGCCTGTAATCTCAGTGACTTGCGAGCCTGAGGCAGGAGGAGTTTGAGGCCAGCCTCATAAATTTAGGGAGATCCTGTCTCAAACTCAAAACATAAAAAGGACTGTGGACAATACTCAGTGGTAAAGTGTCCCTGGGCTCAATTCCTAGTAGAAGAAAAAAAAAAAGATAAACATAAAATGGGCATGTCCTAATTTCAATATTTGGTTTGTTATTGTTTTGCAGTGCTGGAGATGAACCCAGGGTGCTTTGCCACTGAACTATATCCCAAGCCCTTTTTACTTAGAGATAGGTTCTTGGTAAATTGCCAAGGCCAAGGCTGACCTCAAAATTTATGCTCCTCCTTCCTCATTCTCTGGAGTAGCTGGGGTTATAGGCATGTGCTACTGTGCCCAGGACATATTCTTTTTTTTTTTTTAATTTAAACCAGAGTGCTTAACCACTGAGCCACATCCTCACTCGTTTTTAATTTTTTTTTTTTATTTTGAGATAGGGTCACGCTAAGTTACTTAGAGCTTCTTTAAATTGGTGAGACTGGCTTTGAACTTGTGATCCTCTAACCTCTGCCTCCCAACCCTCTGGAATTACAGGCATGCACCACCATACCTGGCCCAGCACAGAGTCTTAAAATACAGAAGTGTTTTTGCTATCTTGCTGTTCTCTTAGGTAAGAGCCATGTACTCCTCGTCCTCTTCCTTCCTCAGGTGGAAGAGACAGTGTGCCAATTCAGGGGGCAGTGAAGCCATTTGAGTTCACCTGTGCAGGTTTGTTAGAAACTGCTCACTTGAGCAGCCATCAGTGAATTAGTGGAAAGTGAAACTGGCAGAAAATTAGTTTGGAATTTCCCAGAAACTGGGTGGAATACATTACAGATGAATTTTGAACTGAGTCCAAGATGACAGGCTAGCTTATTATCATATGCAACTAATTAACTGAACAAAAGCTATTGAAGCCTACAAAGACAAAAAAAAAAAAATCTTTACATGCATGGAAAGGATATCTTAATGGATTCATTTGTTAATAGATGAGGGGAAAGGACACAAAAATAAAACAGCCAGCTTGAGATAGAGCTCTAAGTTCAGAATTTCTAGCCAGGGGTTTGAGTACTTTGTTTTTATTTATGGTTACTGCTTTTCCTTATTAGTTGCACAGAAGTAAAGGATTTTGTGGTTTGTTTGTTTTTTTCCTTGCCCTGTGATTACTGGGTCCAAATTTTAACCCTGTTGTTTTGGGTTATTATCTGTCCTGTCAGGTGGAGGAGGACACATGTGTTGGTGAGTTAAGAGGGGCAACATGAGCAGGAATGAGGTAAATCCAATCATTTTAGGCCTTGTTAGAATAAATAGTATAGGTCTGAAGATCCCTTGGTTCTGTGAGAACGGTAAAAGGTCTCGGCTGAGTGGTTGCCATGGTCTTAGCCCTCCCGGACACAGAAGGACAATAAAGACTTAATTCCAAGAAATAGAAAGTCAAACTAGCAAAGCCACTGAAAGAAAACAACTCAGGCTAATTTTCACAGAATCTGTTAGTTAACTGCCTTTTATGGCTCTTCCAAATATCACGCTCTATGGGACAGAGAACCCTGAGGCATTTTTTTTCCCAATAGAGTTCAGACATCAGAAACCTCTCCAAAGTGAGGACAAGCGTGATCACGAAGCTCTCTCTTGCTGGTGTGGTGGGCGTGACTTTTAGAAGGGAGACACCAAAATACTTCACCTGGAAAATGTCATAATATGAGGACTTATATTTAGACCTTAACTTTGCTAATAAATTTCTTTTCTGATTTCTCCTGCCCTCTTTTCAACTTCAAAAGTCACAGGGGCATAGAGCAAAAATCACTGCACCATAATATAAAGGAGGTAGCCCTGGGCACAGCACTGCTGCTTCTAAACTCTGGGTCCTTGGACAAGCCATCTCTGCTCCCAGAGCCTCAGACCTCTACTTGCTTTCCTGCTACTTCAAACAGCGGTAGTGAGAGCCAAATTCGATGTATGTGAAGACGTTTCGCCACTTATGTATGCCCTATGTGGACACAAAGCATGATTATTAATATAACACTGACCAACTAAAAGGGTCCAGACATCATTTTCTCATTCAAAGGACTGAGGAGTAGAGAGTAAAAGAAATCACAGTGCATTTCTGAATGCACTTTTGAAGTTGTGGGAGGCAAACTGAACTAAAAAGAGTAGACTCTGGGAACAGCCAGACATGAATCCAAACACTACCACTTTGCAGATCTCGTATCTGCTCTGTGCTCTATGATGTTATCTGTAAAGGGAAGAATCTCTTTGCAAAATGCCTGATGAAGAGTATGGACACAATAAATAACTTACACCTCTAAAGTTCTTCACAAAAAAAACAGAGATAGAAGACACTCCTTAGCCATAAGGGCCAAAGTTGTAATAGGAGCACATTTCAAGGTAAATACTGAATATAATTATTTTAAAATTAACAAAATCTTTATAATTAACTGCAGCTATGCACTAATTCTTAGTCCAAAGAATGTTGAGGCGTTGATTTGTCATGGAGAGGAGACACTTTCTTGAATAAAACTGTAGGACAGCAAATTGCAATATCATTTTAAATCATGTTACCCTTGTGTAACACCATCAACCATGGATTGTATTAACCAAAACATTTTTTTAAATACTCTTTTTTTGTTGTTTAAAGATGTTGATGGACCTTTATTTTATTCATTTATTTATGTGTGGTGCCCAGAATTGAACCCAGTGCCTTGCACATGCTAGGCATGTGGCTCTGCCACTGAGCCCCAGCCCCAGCCCTTTATCAAAACATTTTAAAAAATTAAAATCAATGTTTTTAATTAGTTTCCATTGCTATTTAACCAGCCTGTTTTGGAAGCATTTGTGTGTCATGATCCTAACCCATTTTTCTGTTTAGTGATTATTTTTCTGATTCCTTATCTATTTATTTTTCTTCAATTTTTACTCAGTCTCTTGATACAGGTCAGGAAATTGAAGCAGTTCCACAAGATAAATTTTATCCAATTTCATGAAATTCTGCATATTTTGCAAGAATCCAACTCTGCTATCTATAAGATTGGTGTTTAAAATATCCTGCAGCTTGTAAAAGACAGACTGGAAAAACGTTGTCTTGGGCAGAGATGATCATTCAAGCTAAGCAGGAAGGTTGTTTCAGAGAGGAAAAATTGTGTGAGTATTTGGTTCATTGATAAATAGTTTCAAGTAATGACAAACTTTTCCTCTCTGTATAACCATGGAATATATTTCTTCATGTTTAATCATGGCGTAAAGGAATTTGGGTAATAAAAACTGGATATGAAGGAAATCTGATAATTCTACTTTTTCTTTTTAAATATTTTTTGGTTGTTGGTGGACATTTATTTTATTTATTTGTATAAATCGAACCCAGTGCCTCACACATGCTTGGCAAGCACGTTACCACTGAGCCACACCCCCAATCCCTAATTCTACTTTTTCTAACAAAGAATTTGTTTCTGAATTTCTTGGCCCAGTTGTAGTGGATTTAGTCTGAATCTCATTTACTCTCACCTAAATGAGGAGCACTTGCTTGTAATTCCCCAGTCCGAGTGAAGGGATATTTACTTTGCCTCTTAAGACCAGTTTCACTAATATGTTCCTCTGTCAAACACCATTCTGTGCTGTTCTTCTTATAAATATGCTGCAAATATATGGAAAATGTGATATTTTTAGTAGTTTAATTTAGACAAAATTGAAAAGTGATGATTCATTAAATCCATTATTTGTATGGGTAAAGAGAATAGTTTATTTCTTGTCATGGTACCTAAATCAAAAGGTAAGATTAAAAGACTGGGTGTCATGGATTGGATGTGGTTTGTCCCCACATGACTCATGTGTTGGAGGCTCGGTCCCCAAGGTGGTGGTGTTGAGGGGTGCTGTGGACCTTAAGAGGTGTTGCCTAGTGGGAGATCCATAGGCCATTGAGGGTGCTGCCCTCGGGAAGGGATTACAATATTTCTCCTGAGATGCCTGGCTTAGTTCTTGAGAGAGGGTTGTTATAAAAGGAGCAAGCCTGGCTCCTTCTTTTCCCTCTGGCTTCCTGTTTTGTGATATGAACTTTTGCTCACTGTACACCCTGTCATGATGCCATCTGCCATTAGACCCTCACCAGAGACCAAACCAAAGAGGCCACCTTGTGTTGGACTTTCAGCCTTCAAAACTGTGAGCTGAATAAAACCTTTCTCTTCTCTTCCCATCCCCCACCCTCTCTCCATACTAGGGATTCCACCCAGGGCCTCATGCATGCCATGCAAGTGTTTGTTCTACCACTGAGCTACATCCCCAGCCCCTTATGTATGTATGTATGTATGTATGTATGTATGTATGTATGTATTGAGACAGGGCCTCACTAAATTGTTCAGGCTGGCCTGGAAATTGCAATCCTCTTGCCTTAGTCTCCTGAGTAGTTGGGATCATAGGCATGCACCCCCACACAAGGCTAAATCTCTTTTTAAAAATAAAGTTAGCCTGCCTCAGGTATGTTATTATAGTAATGCAAAAGGACTAATGCACTGGGAAAAGGTATTTGCAATAGATATATCCATTAAAAGACTTGTATCCGGATTTCAATGTAATTTTTTAAAAATGAGCAAGACTTTAACAGGCACTTCACTAAAGAGGGTATCCAAATGACTATTAGACAAATGGAAAGGTGCTTGACATCATTAATCATCAAGGAAATGCAAATTCAAACTTCAATGAGATACCGTCATACCTCTGCCAGATGGCTAAAATCAAAAGGACTGCTGATAGCATTTATTGGTGTAAGTGTGGTACAACTAGAACTCTCAGAAATTGCTGATAAGACTACAAATTGTAAAACCAGTTGGGAAAGCTGCTTGGTAGTATTTAAAGATAAATATATGTATATTCTATTACCCAGTAATTCTTTTTTCCACATTTCAATTGGTGCATTATAGTTGTACATGACAGGATTTGTTGTTACACATTTGTACATGTACAAATACAACAACATAATTTGGCTGATGTCGTACCCCAGACATCCCTGCTCCCTCCCCACCTTCTACCCCCTGGTTCCTCTACTGATGTCCCTTTGAATTTTATGAGATCCCTGCCTCTCTACTTTCTTTTCCTTTTATCTCCCTAGCTTCCACATATGAAAGAAAACATTCAACCCTTGACTTTCTGAGTCTGATTAATTTTGCTTAACATAATGGTTTCTAGTTCTGTTGGTTTTCCTGCACATGACATAATTTCATTTTTCTTTATGGTTAAATAAAACTCAGTTGTATATATCTACCACATTTTCTTTACCCATTCATCTATTGATGAATGGCTGGTTTCATAGTTTGGCTATTTTGAATTGTGTTGCTATGAATATGTATTACCTAGAAATTCTACTCCTGAATATATACCTAACAGAAATATAGTCATTCCCCCTTATCTACAGTTTTGTTTTCCATCATTTCAATCACCCACAGCCAATTGTGGTCTGAAAATATTAATACAGTGTAATGAAGAATTAAGGTATTTTGAGAGACAGAGAGCACATATTCACCTAACTTTATTCCAGGAAATTATAATAAATATTTTTTATTTATTATTATTAATCTCTTATTGTGGATAATTTATAAATTAAATTTTATCATAGGTATATATATAATATATATATATAAACAGTATGTATATAAACATATATAGTATGCATATATGTATACATATACTATAAGGTTATGAATCTGTAACATACTCTAGGTTTCAGTATATATACATACATTGTAGGGTTCAGTACTGTTGGTGGCTTCAGGCAGCCAGTGGGGAAGGGGTGTCTCAGATCACATCCCCTGTAGAAAATGAGGGGACTACTCTAAGGGCCTATGTCCACCAAAACAGGTATGAGAATGCCTGGGACTTTATTAATAATAGCACAAAACTTGAAACAATTCAGTAAATAGAATGGATGATAAACTTCATGATAGTCATACAATTGAATACTACAAAGAAGTGAAAATGAACTACTGAGATATCTACCAAAGAAACCAGACATCACAATATATAATGCATGACCTGTGCAATGTTCAAAAGCAGAGAAAACTTCATCAACAGTGGTAGAGAGGAGACCACAGTTATCCTAGGTGGGAGAGATATTGACTGTGAGGTGACACATGTGGACCTTCTGTGGTGTTGAAGATATTCCATGGCTGTACTCTCAAGCCCTGTGAACTTTGTATGCAAATTATATATCAATTATATGTTATATAAATATATAATAAAGTGGAAAAAGCTAGCAGTAAGTGAAAATTCTGTTGCAGAAGAACCTTTAACTTTGAATGTAAATGTTTTTTGTTCTTAATAATGTAGCACATTTAACTAGCTTAAAAATACTATGCTTTAATAAAAAAAACTGGAAAAACATTTAATAAATTGTTAATAGTAGAATTGTAGGATGCTTTTATTGCCATCTTTATGCTATTCAATATTTTTTCAATTATCTATGAAATTCATAATCAGAAAAACATGTAAATAATGTTTTAAGATATCTACTAAGAATAACATCTCATTTAAATGTTTTATTAAGCAGTATTGATATTAAACATTTTTCCTTCTTGCACACTTTTTTAATAAAAGAGAATTTCTAGGTGTAGTGGCACGTCCTTGTGTACTCAGAGACTCAGAAGGCTGAGACAGGACCCCCTTGGCAACTTAGTGGGACCATCTGTTAGGGTCTGTAAACAAGTCAGGATGGCACCTGGCAAATGTTAGAGTCTGTAAACAAGTCAGGATGGCGCCTGGTATTTTGCCAGGGGGAGTAGTTTGTGAGGTGGCGCCAGTGAGCCATTAAGTGTGGAGCTTCCTTATTGGTTGACTGCTGTATCTAGTTTATGTTAATTAAGATAAGCTGTGTGGAATGTATAAATACCTCTGTTGTCCTACAATAAACGACTCCCAATCCTGCTGTATCAATCTGCACAAATTGTTCGTCACCCCCCGGTTATTCTGCTGCAGCCGGACTGCGGCAACCATCATCAACTTAGTGGGACCTTGTTTCAAAATTTTTTAAAAATTTGAAAAATGGCTGGGAATATAGTGGTGAAGTGCCTCTGGGTTCAGTCCCCAGTACAAAAAGGGGGTGGGGGTGAGAAATAAATAAAAGTATGTTTCTTTGGGCTAATTCTATTTTGAATAATATACACTGAAAAAGTGTGTCTCTATATTTCTCGTATTAAAACCATTTGCAAGATTGTATTGTTCTTGCTTTATTGGAAAGCACTTTACCTGGTGTTAAGCATTGAGTGCAGGTCTCACTTCTCGAGTTCCCAACCCAGCTCCACCACTTTCTAATCCGCAATTTCAGGCAACTGCCTTACCCTCTGTAATTCTCAAGTTTTCTTTAAATTAGGGAAAATAATAGTATCTACATGAAAAGCTCATAAGATATACAGCAATTTTTATCACCATTAACTTGTTTTTGTTAAATGTCTTTATGGGTCTTGCAAAATTGTTTAATGAGAATTTTAATATTTTACATTAAAAAAATATGTTCTGAACTCTCAAAATTTGAAGAGCATACCTGTAACCAACTCACTTGCCAACTAGGTGAGAAACCAGTAATAATCTATACTATCTAATCACCATAACCACTCCCTGAAGAAAGTAGAGTAGTACTTCTACTTTACGTACAGGGACACTGAGGCCCAGAGAGGTGAGTTGAGCCCCAGAAGATGCAGAGAAGGCCAGAGTAGAGCAGAGCAGATGGCTTGGGGTGGTGGACAACACAGTGACCATAGATGCACCAGCGATGAATTTCTTTACTCCTATGTGGCCTCTTTGGCCTCTGCTCCAATCTGTGTGGGTCCATCATCCCACTCAATCTCTGCAGGTCCTTCCATGGACCAAACTCTGCTGTTCCATGACCTTTCCTTTGACAGGCCTGTGCTCACATTGGCCCTCTACTAGAAGCTCAAACCATCTTCTTTGTCCTTCATATAGAATTTCCTCACTTACTCCATGTGGTGCTCTGTTTTACTTTAGCCTCTTTGAATCCTGATAACCTTTTATTTTTCCTCTGAGCACTATAAGGCTCAGTTTTGCTTTTCAGTTTTTTGGGTATTGACCCTTCCCCCTGCATTACAATTACTTGTCTTAAAACTTCTTAAACTACTCAGTCTAAAAAGTGGGAGATACCTAATGGATGTGCATTAAATGAATGAGTGAGTTAATGATGTAGCAGGCAAAAAAGCATACATCTTCAAATATTTTAAAACAACCTTGGAAGCTTGTGACAATATGCAGAAATAGTTGCATTTGCCTGGATATTGTAGCAAATGACTTGC